GACTGACTGTGGGGTGGACAGGTGTCTTTAAAGAGCTCAGAGCGGAGTAGAGGTGGACTTTTTCAAGGCACAGTAACAGGTCTTTGAGAGCCAGAATTCTTGCTGTTTCTCAGGTGTTCAAATACTTATGTTCAGCAGTGCAAGACAAATAAATTCTTTAAAAATCATACAATGTGATTTCCTTAAAATCTTTTTTAATTCTGTCTCTCAGAGTGGGAATGCACCTACAATGTGAATTTCAGACCCCTCCATGATTTCTAAGTGGGAGAACTTGCAAAATTGCAGGGTGTTCAAATACTTCTGTTCCTCACTGTAACTGGGTTACACATATATGCTGTGCTAAAGCTTAAAAACTGCTGCTCTCTTGAAGGGAATGATCATCAGAGATCTAATATCATGTGAAACACGCAACCGTAATTATCAAGCTTGCTCACTTTAATCTCGAATTCAAGGTGCTAGTTTTCTTACACACAGTAAGTAGACGCTTGGCCCCTGAAGGCACTTGGCCTCTCTGTGGCTGTTTGTGATCTGCGGTGAATGGGCTGGATATTGTTTGAGACTGGGAATGAAAAGACTTCATCCCAAACCCTGGCAGGAGTGCTTCCCAGGTGTAGCTGAGAAAACCTGGACACCTCCCAAGTTCAGATACTTGTCTCTCCTAATGTGCCAGAAATCAAGGTGTGTGTGGACACAAAAGTTGTCAGGTGGTAGCTGAGCCACTGAAAGGTGTTTACACAGGAGTTAAGTAGGGTTGTCCCCTGACTAAAGACATTCTCAGCTGGCAAACAGTCAGGGGATTATTTACAAATCAAGAGGTCAACTTAGTCAACAAATCTGTGTGCTGTCATGCCAGTGAATTGTTCCTGGAAATAAATACAGTTACAACTACAGTCTAAGAGGTCTATGTCTAATACATTAAATGCAAAAACCTCATTTAGTTCATTAATTAATCACAGGATTAAATGTTGCATTGCTACATTGTGTGTGTGTGTGTTTTAGAAATGTAGTTTTCCAATACAAGTGAGTCATTACTGTTTGCATGGCAGAGAAGGTTTTCTGTGACATAAATGTTTTGGTAATCTCTGAATCTTATGCAATCATATGCGTAGGAAGAGTAAATATTTTTCAAGAGCAGGCCTGCCAAAGGATTCAGATTACTTGCCCAAATGATTGATAGTTTGCCAATTTATTTAAGGTGCTCAATATCATATTTTGCAAACAGATTGAAGATTTCATATTCAGCTCTTGTGAAACTGCCTGCAGCTATATTTGTGGACAATTTTGCTTTTTGTATTGTGAACTGTGGATGAACTCAGCTTGTTGAATATGGCTTAGGACAACAGATCTCGCTAAAGACAAGACCAGACTGATATTTAACTTCAACGGGCAATCTTTAACCAAAATTTACTAAACAGGAAGTCGTTCATGTGGTTTCTTTTTGACGGATGAAATCGACACGGACATGGCAACAAGCCAGTCTGGACTGTACACATTTCTATATAGTGCACATACTGTACATATAGACTGGTATCGGTGCACTATGTTGCTTCTGCTAGATTAAGCCAATTCAGTTTGTCATTCTGGAAATAAGATGTCACCGACTAAAAGCAAACAAGTGTTTTATCAGGACTGACGTCTAACGACACAGTGCTTACAACGCCAACAGATGAGAAAGTGCCATATGTCACAAAACAACTAAGAAGATGCGTCTGTCTGAAACTAGAGAGTGAATTTTGAATCAGCTCCTCTCTCTCTGTGCGTATAGTATACACCCCCCCACCCACCCCCGCTAATGGGAGGAGCGCACCGCACCTCCTCTCTGTATAAGAAGTGTTGAGTGTTCAACAAGGGATTTTACACAGCTACTCAGGAGAAACGAAATGATCTGCCCTGGAGCCGCAGCAAAATGCTGGATGGACACCTACTCCTGGGATGGTTATCGTTCACAGTTATAGTGTATCTTCTTAACTTGGCTGGACCAACTGCAGCGTATTTCGGGTAAGGACTCACTCACACACTGTGTCCATGATGCTGCTTTCATTGATTTGATTGGTTCCTGTTTTACAAAGCAGGTAATAACTTTCGATCTCTTTTTAACTCAATGAAAACTTCCCTTAAGGTTTTTTTTTCAGCAGGCGTGGAACAACAGCAAACTCGTTCATTCTGATGTGTTTTATAACATGTTGTGATCGCACTAATATCTGCGGGTCAGTGAGGTGTCACTTGGACGCGGTTGTGCAGCGCTCGCCGGCCTCACAGCTGGCGGCTGCAGCAGGTTGTCTACACATGATCTGGCCTCACGAAAGCTGCTGACAATAAAAACTTGTTTGAGACAAGCAGTGTCAGCAAATATAAAGCACGGCATCTATTATAGGTAGGCAGCCTCGGAGTAATGCTGGCCGAGCGGAGTTCACCCCATTCTTTCCCTGACAATTGAGCCTTCGCCCACTGTAAAGTAACCTCTGGGACTTTTGAATGGCAGGTAGTGGTCGAGTGATTATTTTGCTGAAGCACTTGTAAAATCATACCCTTAGTCGACTCTGAAAACAGCCGCGGAGCAAAAGGTGAGTGTATGCTTCAGATTCAACAGATGGTAACAATAAAGAAATCTGACTGACTGAACTGGTGGTGGCCGAGCGTCTGCTCAGCTTGCACAGAAAATCCCCCCATCCAGCATAAACATCACACAACTCTGGCAGGGTTTTTTTTCTTCTTCTGCTGCCTCCATCAAGGAGGGGGAAAAACTGGAACACGTGTCTGGAAATGAATCTTAAAAATTTAGCTTTTCATGAATCATGTCATATATACATTTAGAAAAAGCACAAGGGTGTATATTTCAAAGTCATTCATTCCCAGGGAACGCCTTCGATTTTAGGTGTAGCCCTCTATGACCTCCAGTTCAGAGTGGCTATTAATGCACTGAACTCCACTATGTCTGCACACATGAACTGCACTCTCTTAGTTACCACGCAGAGAAGCCAAGGTGATTCAGGTGGCGCCAGCATGTCAGGTGTTTCACCTGGAATTCAAAGAGTCATTGATAGAAAAAAAAAAAGTCTGGAAAACAAAGTGAAATGTACCTTTAAAAACTGTCAAAGTGGCTTCTCCTACAAAATACAAGGGAAGGAAACAAATGTAGTGATGATACTTGAGGTCTTTCCAGAGGAGTCAAACTTATGGCAGGTATGGGTGTTCTGTGCACGATCCGTTAGTGTTAGGTGATCTGGGAACTGTTGTAACTGTTGTGAATCTGCTGGAGAGCACAGTCCCTCGGGCTCTGTTAGACTGGCTAGTGCTAGACCTGTCAATATCATGGAGTGGGTTTTACTTTCTTCAGGTTATACTAAATAAAGTATTCTGTAAATGTCTGAAGTAAAGTTTACAAGGATGTCATTATAGATGTGCTTAAAAACTTTCTCCATATCAAACTGTCTGAACAAGCCAGTTTGCTGTTTACACCCAGTTTTTTCTTTTTCCTTCTGGGTAAATCTTGTTCTCTTAGGTATTGCACCAAAGTGCTGGCACTCATCTTTGGAAAATGGGTGATGCAAACATGCTGTACGTCACCTGTGCTAGCTCTGCATGCTTTTCAGTAGAACATCATCATATGTGACGCTTGTGCACATATCTGTCTCTGACTCTGTCTTTGGTTTCAGTGCAGCTCTAAAGTAGAAGGACAAATGTAACCCCCTCCTTGCCGCAGTGTCTCCCTTGGCTGGCATGCATATTAAGGCTGACATGCCAAATTGGCACTCACATCAACCTTAATGGTTCTAGTAGTAATGCTTATTTACTTATTCAGTTAGCACTTGCTTTCAGTTGCTTCTGTCAGTCTGTTCTCTCTCTGTGGCCTGTGTAATACAGGAAAACATGTGGTATTACAATACTCCAGAGTTATTATTCCATTGCCCGGTGAGAAAGGAATATGAATGAGTGTCAGTGAATGATATAGGCCTGCAGCTGAGGAACATGAAACATAGTAAAAGGGCCTGTGCAGGTGACACAGATACACAATGTGACTGCCCCATGGCCAACTTCCCAGATATGTGACACCGGTGACACTCCAGCTTTGACTGTGGGACATACTAACACAAACCTGTTCAGATAAATATTCCAAGAGCACGAGGCATCTTAGTGCCTCGTGGGTACTGATTTACTCAAAATAGAGGGTCAATGTTGCATACCCAATTTCCAGAGTGCAGTGGAGCGTAAGTGTAACATAAACACAATCTCTCTTGCCTGTAGTGTGTGCACTGAGGGTGGGGTGGGATTCCTGTGCTCGCTTAGATTGTCATCCTTTGCCACAAGAATGTGAGCCTCTCATTTTCTTTCCCTCAGCCTGTTGTGGCAGGTGCTAGTTCTGCTAAATTTGTTATCATTAGAGTTTGAATCAGCCTGCCGATCTTTTCCTGACTTGATAAGTCAGAGCACCTTGATGAGATGTTGAGTAAACCCTTGGAGAAGGATGCCATTTGTTTGCTCAGTTGACCCCCATCACGCCTCAGAGCGCTCTGTTTTTATAGATTTAAGTTTTGGTTAAAAGGCATGTCATTCTGTGGTCTTGTAAATTGTGCTGAATGTGAGCCCTAAAATGGAGCCAACACTTTGTTTTTATTTACTTCATGTGCAGCATATCCAGGAAGGCTGCCCTCAGTCATGCAAAAGGGATTTTACAATCACAGAGGCTTCAGGACATCCGGAAAAAAAGCAAATACAGCGATTGATTTTAATTGCTGTGATATTCTTAAACGCTTTATCATTGGTTTGCTCCTGACACTGAGCTGATGCCCTTTTAGATGATATTATTGTTTTCGGTGCTCCATTAAGTGAGGCAGTGAGCCAAAAACAACAGGATAACAAATGGCATGTGTGTAAACTTACTGAAGAGTGTTTTTTTTTCCCCACTATGCAGCTGTAAAAGGTTTTTATCGCTGTGCTGAATTAGTTCCTGGTGTGTATCAAACAGCAGCATTCATAGAGCTTCATTTCTTTAGCACATCATAGAAATGTTGCAAGCTGTTTCCTAAGCAGCTCCGTGTGAACATTTACTTTGGTTCCTTTCTCTCTCCTCCCTCCTGTCTTCTGATTTGCTTGCCTCCATGAGCGTGTGGTGGTTTGTGGGGAGCTGCTGGACGATTACCGCTCATTAGGAGCAGCAGAATCAGTGTGGGCTCAGGCTGGCATTGGCAGACAGCGGTGGCGAGCATCTCTAGGCCTTAAGGGCTGATTAGCCCTGACGTGCAGCAGGGTGGGGAGCACCGATGATAGAGGGATTTCCCAACTTCACAGGATATCCTGTGGCTAGAGCCACACCTTAAATGGTATCACTTTACCGTGAGCCAAGGAGATAGGATTCTCTCAGCACTGGCCCTGTGACTGTGTAGAGGTCAAAGCCGGAGGCCTAGACAACAGACTGCCTCTGAAAAGAGAGAACTTTGTTTTCTTCATATACTGTATTTGATACATCCAGATTTAAGCTAAGTTGGCTTTGCTTTGGGTGTTCTGCTCTGTGACATACCTCTAGGAAGGGCTGCTGTGCCTGTGGATGCCATAGGGTGGTGCAGTGTCTTCTGAGAATTCAGGATGGTCCTCAATCAGCAGTAACCTTTTTGTGTGAGAGTAGGAGAGTGGGAAATGAAATCCAATGTAAAGGGAGCTGAGTCGGTGTAAAAATAACTTAGGAAAGGAAAATAGTTCTATGTATGCTTAGTTGTGGTCAACCTGCATGTCATGTGCAAAGCGTCTTTCAACTTTAGCTTACAGAGCAGAAATTCACCTCTGTGCAAAGAGGCAAATATTTCTTGTCTAAACCTAGTGATGCACAGTGTTACTGTTTATTTTACAGGTTAAATAATCAGAAACTATAGAAGCTGATATGCATCTTTGTTATGAAGTGGTGTCTATAGTGGTTTGTTATTGGGCTCATACTGTAAAATAACATGGTTGTACTGTTTTGAAGATTACATGCGGCAGTGTAGCTTTTAAAATGTGCTCGGCCTGTTCACGTTCAAAGGACTTACAGTTCTAGTGTCATCAACATGCTGAAGAAACTGCAGCTAGGATGGCAGCTCCACCTCAGCTACCGGTCAGCTGTGCATTTCACCAGTGGACAGTCAGACATGAGAAGGAAACTCCTGGAGAAGAAAGTGCTTGTTGGCCACAGTGCGCATGCACACAATGATCTCTGCAGATAGATCTGGAGACATGGCCAATTTGCAAACAGGAAAACTAATACAGACTTAAGATGAGCAGGCACTGATGAGATCATGCTAGTTTGTGTGAGCACTGTGTCCCTTGTTTTTCATCCTTGATCACAAGCAAGCATTTGTAGGGGTAGAAGAAACATGGCATTTCATGTGTGCCAAGATTAACAGATTGACAAATCTTCACTTAATGTTTTGATCTTCTAGAGAATATCTGTGCATTCCTCATGTCTTACTTAAGAAGATGCTAAAACATTTTCTTAGAATTAAAGTTTCTTTTTGTAGTAGCCTAGACAAAATTGTAATATTTAATCTTTACCTGTTTGCAAAGATGTATACTTTCATAAAGAATGAAAGGAAGCTGACCATACCTTTACGGCAGGGTTAATCTTTTATTGCACTTTATCTAGATGATCATCTTGAATAAACACAGTCCTATGGAAACCTGACCTGACATGCATTCAGATTTCCCACTAAAATATGTGTGTTTGCCAAATGGGTGTTATTATATAGACTAAGGTTTCCTTCAAAAGGCATATTTATCCATAAAGCCTGAGCATTAGTTTGAGAACGGACACAGCCTGATGTGAATGGGCCTAGACACGGCAGATACTCTATAGTTTGATTAAACCTGGGGGACTTTTTATTTCATGTTGAAAATGGCCAATTTGCATGACTTGCAAATGGTTACTGCTGCTTTAATTGTCAGTTGTCAAGAGTCAAACTTTCTTACGCCAAGCGATAAATGAGCTGTGTATATGTGCACAGAAACCACTGGGGAATATTTGTCAGATG